GTTGTTTGGCAGGGCCTGCCCAGCGCTAACGCAACGTGATTCGCTCCGGTAGGAGTGGGGAAGGGGGGCTGCCCGCATTGCTGCGCAGCCATCGGGCTGCTGGCTGGGGCACCACCACTTGGCTGGGGTCGCCTTCCTCTCTGCTGGGGGCTGCGGCACTGGGTCGCGGTGCCAGACGCTGCGCAGGAAAGTGGGGGTGCGACCCCTGGCTCGCGCAGCCCCGCCCCCAGAGTCAGCGGCCCTGCGGCAGCCCGGGGCCGAGCTCCGCCCTCCACCTCCCGCCGGCCTCGCCGCCTCCTCCCTCCTCCCTCGCGCGCTCCCTCCCCTCGGCCGGCTCGGCGCTGACTCCGCCGCACGCTGCAGCCGCGGCTGGAAGATGGCGGGGAACGACTGCGGCGCTCTGCTGGATGAAGAGCTCTCCTCTTTCTTCCTCAACTATCTCTCCGACACGCAGGTACGGTCGACCGGGGCGCAGGCCTGGGGCCAGGGTGCTGAGCACCCGGGGTTGCAGCTGCAGCCGCTGAGGCCAGGACGCAGCGATGGGCGCAATGGGGAGATGAGGGGTTCCAGGCTGCAGAGCCCCCTTTCCATGCGCCTGGCGATGCGCTCCATAACGGGTAGGGAGCTGGAGATCCCCCGGTCTGTGTTGGAGCACTGGGGACGCATAGCGGCTGGGAAGGGTTTAGTCTGAGGCACCTGGAGTCCGCCACCCCCTGCGGGCAGGCTGGGGGGTACCGCGTTTCCTTGGGGAGGATGAGCCGCGCGCGTTAAGGTGCGGGAGACCCTCGGGCTGACGCCGGGTGCTGTAGGCGCGCCCTTAGCGCCCGGCACTTGCTGCCGTACTTTCACGTGGACTTGTGGCCCCGGTATGGGCGCCTGCCCTCACCCCGGAGTCTCCTCGTTCTCTAGCCTCTGGCCCCCCAAGTGCTGCTCTCGGCACGCACAGCTCTCCACAGGCTCCCGCAGCGCGGAGTTTCCCGTCAGTTGCCCTCTGAGGGCTTGGGGTCTGCGGGGCACGTGGACCTGCGGGCGGAGATAGAGCCTTGGTTTCGCTATCCGACCAAGCCCCTCCCGGGGAAGAAGCAGGGCAGGATGGGGGCGGGAGGGCCGTCTGGGGGCGCCTGGGTCCCCCTGCGTCGCGCGGCCCTGGCGCGCGCTCCACGATGCAGGGGGAAGGGAATGCGAGGCGGCGTCCCGGGCTCTGGCTGAGCCTGGAAGCTCCACCGGCGACACCCGCGTGACAGGAGAGGGTGCTCGGTGTGCCGGGGTGGGGGAGGACTTGGGTAAGCCGGTGGCTTGGAGACCCGGAGGCAAGTGCTGCTGGGACAAGCAGTTACCAGAAATGATTACAGAAGGTGTGCGCACCCCCAACCCTTTCCCTCATTTCCCCCACCCCATGCCTGTTGCCAGCATAAAGTTTGGCTCCCGAGTTGGGGCTTTTACTGCGGGCGCCGGGCTGCTGGTGACTGAGAGGCTCGGGATGAGGCAGAACCCTGGAGGGGACTCCAGACGCGAGGGGACTTCGGGATGTAGAGAGGGGCCGCGGGACCGAACCGGGTGCGGCTCGCGGGGGCTGGTTCGGTACCTGGAGGGGAGCACCGGCCCGTTTTGCATAACACAGGAAGGGAGGGGGAAGGCAGAGGGGGCCCGAAGGTGGGAGGAGAGAGAGGGAAACTTTGCTTCTTGTTATAATCTGCCAGTCTTTGGGCGGTAGCAGCTGTCATGGGACCGGGTGGGCGGGGAGAGGCTTGTAAGCTGACTCCTCGCGGTGAAACGCGACTTGGAGGGGGACGCAGCTGCAGAGACGTTCAGCTCTAGGCGGACTCCGGCTGGCGACTTCGGGCTGGCGGCTGGGACTGCGCGGCGTGGCGGGGTGTCGCCGAGAGGAAGCCTGCCACGCGCGGGGAAGGCCGGCCCCAGCCCTCTGCAGGCTCGCGGGGCCGTGCGGTCGGTGGCGGGAGCTCTCGGGTGGGCTCGCGGTGGAGGCCGGAGGGGCTGGCGGCGAGCGCTCGCGCGTCCCGAGGCCGGGGGTAGGTGTTTGACGAGCAGGCTGCGCGCTCGGGTGTGTGTCTATGTGCACACGCCGCGCGCGCCGGGCGCGTACCTTTACCTCTGACGAAACTGCGGTGGAGCTCCCGCCGCCGTCGCCCGGCTCCGTCACACGCCCCGCGCCTGTGTCTGCGCGGAAGGCGGGCTCAGCCTTAGCAGCCTCGGAGCCGGCAGCCTGGGACCGGGAGGTCCGCGCTGGGGACGACGGGCAGAGCGTGCTCTGGGAATCAAGATGCTGCCTGCGGGTCTCACACTTACTTGCCTGGGCTCGACTCCAAACCTGCACACTGAGGGAGACGCAAGTGAGGGAGGCCTGAAACAGCCAGACACTCTTTAAGGGCCGCAGCAAGAATCGTCTGTTCTGGATCTGATCCTGGTTTTTAACTCCATCTTCAGAGCTTGGCTCACCAATAATTAATTATTTGCCCTGCTAGCCACCCTACTCAGCAGGGCCATTTCACCTAAGGAAACTAGAAAATTGGGTAATCAGGTGTCAGCAGAAGCTGTGTAGTGAAAGTTAATCTGAGACGTTTGCTTTTTTTTTTTTTTTTAACCACGTGACAGGCCGAGGCTCCTCTGGTGATCTTTGCCGGCCCAACTTGGGAAATGTAATTGATAGGACGAGCTTTGCAGCCACCCCTAGAAGGCTCAGAGAGCCCTGCCAGAAGAGGGCCTGGGCGGGCCATCCAGTGCCTCCTCATTTTACAGCTGGGGAAGGAGGTTGCGAGGGGTGAGCGGCTTCTACAGGACCACTCAGCCAGCGGGTGACAGAGCCACCCAGGGCTCCTGACTCCAGGTCCTGTGTGTTACCTCGAAATAGCACTGGACTTGGAGTCAGAAGGCCTGAGTGGAGTCACCTTCCCCACTCACTGGCTGGGTGACCCCGGAGCAAGCCATTTTAACTCCTGGAGCCTCCTCCTCCATCTGTGCAATGGGGCTGAGGTGCCTGCAAAGGAGAAGCCATGGCCTGGTGGTGGGGGTGAGGAATATTGCATGTCAACTGTCTGGTTGTCCCTGTGGCTTCCCCTTCCTTTCCCGCACCCCTTTCCTGACCCTCCCCTCCTCCAGCTCTCTGCTCTGGAGGGTTGGGGCAAGTGGACAAAATGGCAATTAACTGTCCTCGTTCAGAGATTTTTGTTGTCTTTCATGGCTAATCCAGGGTTAGATTAGAGGGAGAACTTCTGTTGAGGAGACTTAACTTTTACCCACTGGGGCCAAAGTACAGAAATTTAGTAGAACAAGGATTGTGACAGTTTCTTAAAGGTTTGAGAAGTATCCTTGCCCACCTGTCCTGTGTGGCCTTCTCCTCCAGTGGCCTTCCCTGCCCTGCTTCTCCTTTCCTAGTTGTTGTTATCTGTTATACAACCAAGTTCTTTATGTGTGAGGCCAGAGTTGTGCCTTTTGTTTCTTTGTGCCTGCATGACACCTGTCCACATGCTGAGCCATGTTCCTTTTGCTCAGCTCTTGGCTAGGCACATGGGTTGCAGACCGGGGGGTATGGCTGGGCCCTGCCAAGCAGAAGCTCCCAGGCTGGCAGGAACGACAGCTGAGCAAGTGGGAAGAGAGGAATGCAGAGGGCTGCAGCTGTAGGCAAAAGCGGAGGCTCCAAAGGCCACACAGTAAGCCCATGCTAAATATGGGTTGTTTGAAGTCACTTGGGGCATCAGTCATTGATGTCCAAAATGTCAGAGATGGCAGGAACTTTATAAACCACCCAGTCCAATATTTCATTTAAAAATAATAGAGCTGTTAAAAATACTATTAGGCATTACAAAAAGAATTAGGAATATGTAATATTATCCAGACATAACCATTGTTAGTTTTCTTATGTATTTCTAGACTTTCTCCTATTTATATATATCACTTGTTTTTTTTAAAAAAATAGTTATTCTGTGTATAATCTGCATGTAATTGATAAACTTGGAATGAACACTATTTTGTAACTTTCTTTGTTTCCCCCCAAAGAAATGCTGTGAACATCTTTCCACATCAATAAGTATTCTACTTAATGTCTTAATGGTTATATAGTATTTCATAGAGTATTGAACCAAAATGTATTTAATCAATCCATTATTATTGTTGCTCAATTGTTTCCCTTTTTTTGGCTATTGTAAGCTGTGCTGAAATGAATATCATTGCGGGTATGTTTTCTTTCCTTCATTTAAATTCCTAGAAGTAGAATTACTCCATCAAAGCAACTATGCAGGCGTTTGGTAAGCACATTTCTGGACTGCCTTGTAGAAAGATTGTACTAATTTACACACTCACCAGGAGTGTGTGGGAATGCTTCATCCCCCATACTCAGATAACTCTTGGTATTTGCATTTTTACCAGTCTGTTCATCAATAAATTCTGTGAGCTTTATTGTTTTAATATGCATTTCTCTGAGTACTTGTGATGCTGAACTTTTTCCTCCTAGAATCATGAGCAACTTTTATTCTGTGTAGTGCTGTGCCTATGAACTTGGCACATTTTGCAATTGTTATCCTGTCCCTTCGTTGTTCTGAGGCTGGAACTGAAGTGGCCTCAGCCACATGGAGAATTGGGAAAATGATGCAAAGTCTTAGCATCCTCTTAAGGTCTGCAAGATTGCTCCCTCCATAGCTTTAAAAGCCAGGGCCAACTGCTTTCCAAGTCAGAGTTCTGGCCATATGCAGGAGCAGGTTGAAGTGTCGCCTTGGCTGGGTGCATTTGCTCACCCTTCACCTGTGTGAGACCAAGTGGCAGGCATAACTTTTTCACCTGAGCTCCAATGGGGACATGTTCCCCAGAGGCCTGAGCTCCCTGTTCACTGGGCCCCATGGCCAATGCTGATGATCACGCTGCCTGTGAAACCTAGGAAAGGCCATGGCCCAGCAGCTGGGCTGGGGGCTCATATTTCCCCTTCACCTAGGGCCCTCCTTTCTCCAGCTGGTGCAGGCCATCCAGAAGCTCCACTGTGCCATGATATGAGTCAGCCTGTTCCTGCTCCTCCTGAAATAATAGAGGAATAATGGCTTGAGTCAGAAGCAGCCTTGCAAATGGGGCCTCAGGCATGGAACTGAGGTCATGACAAGAACATTGCTGGGTTAACGGCTGTCTTCTCCTTCATCATTGTCATCACCAGTGACATTTGTCGAGCATCCTTGGGGATTGTTGCACACTGCTGAGCCTTCTGCTTGCACTATTGTATTTCATATATCATATTTCATTCTCTTAAAAATTCTGTACAATGTATGTGCTATTTTCTAGTTTTACAGATTTCAGTTTCAGAGAACTCAGATTTGCTGAAAACTACCTAGCTTACACTGCCTTTGAGTAAGAGGAAGGCCAGGATTAGTGGGTGATGTTCCCATGCCCCCTGACTTGTCCTCATTGAAGACAGGGACTGCTTCCTGCTATTGATCTTGATTGTTTTTCCAGCCA